GATTAACACTTTCAAATTCATTAAGTTTAAACTGAGATGACTCCTTCAAGCATTTCGACTGGGAACTTGCGAGTGACACAAGTGATGTTTCGCTCTCAGTCTAGAATCTAAGCGGGATTGTCAGCATAGACTTTAGACTTTACTCACAGGAAAAGTACATGATCTTGGTAGCCAATTGACCGAGTAAAAATGTGAAATTATCTGCTCAGCGAAGGGTTCTCTCACAAGCTTCAATTACAGACATGAAATAGTCGGTTATCATGTTGCGATAATGGACGCCATTTATGGTTACGTTCTCACCGGCATCATTTTTAAAGAAACCGTTGACTTTTCTGGATGATATGGCTGCTTTTGAATGCCTTCAGGCTGCTAAATGACTTCTGCCCATAGAGCGAAGTGATGTAGTTTGAAGGTCGAGCGGCTTCAGTTCTTGAACATGTTGTATTTTGTATGATTTCCATTTAAGTTCTCTACGTAAAATGTGACAAATCACTCCATACGTCAGTCCGAGTTGTTGCGAATGGCACCCAATCGACTCTCCACTGTCTCTCTAATACGGCCGCTATATTTTCTTCACTGCTGGACGTGGTTTATTTGGTCGAATATTAACCAACAATGTATGCTGGATCTCAGTATGGTTGGGGGTGTGTTCCAAAGTAAACAGGACTTTTTGAATCTAGCGCCCTCTAGTGGCGCCATCTAAGTCGACTAGTGCGTTATAATCTGCTATTCTTTACCAACTTCCAATAAACATTCATGACATTTCAACTTGGAAGTGAAGTTATTTCATTTTAAGTGTCAGTATGTCTTTGTCATCGGTGCGAAAATGAGCTTCGAACAAAGAGCCGACTTTAACTTTGTTCTAAAATTGGTAAAGCTTTTACCGTAACGTTTCAATTGATGAAAAAAGTTTATGGCGATGATTTTTAATCCCGTAGCAGAGTGCACGAGTGGTTTCAACGTTTTCAAAGTGGTCGCGAGGACATAAATGACGATGAACATGTGGGACAACCAAAATCCGTGATCACCGAAAATGCCATCGAAACTGTGAGTGAAATTTTAAAAAATCAGCCGAAATCGTCATTGAAATTCATGGAAATAGAATTTAACATCTCCAAAATATCGATTTATCGCATTTTGACCGAACTTTTTGGCTTGCAAAAGGTGTGTGCACGGCTTGTTCCGCACAAATTGACTGACAACCAAAAATTGCTCAGAATTCAGCATTCGAAGGACATCATTAAAGCGGCAAAAAAAAACACGAATTTCGTTTACAAGCTTGTGAATGGTGACGAAACGTGGTATTTTCAATATGATCTCGAAACGAAACGCCAGAGTGCTGAATGAAGGAGTCGACACCCAGAAAATTGCACCTTAAAGAGCTTGCACCGGCATACTGGCGGCGACATCGGCCAACGAGCTAAAACACTCGTTCGATATGCTTTTGGACCGTGCAAAAAGCTGTATTAAAGCAGAAGGAGACTACTTTGAATAAATTTAACTGATTTCGCCGATAAAACCATTTGTTCTATCTTTTTTTTAAAGTCCTGTTTACTTTGAAGCGCACCTTGTAGGACGCTCAGTATGCCCATTATGTTGACCATAAGTTGAGCGAAGCGCGCGAAACACATTCTTTACAGAACGTATAATCAATTTGAAGAATTTGTAAACGTTGTTCAGGCGTAAGTCTTTGCTTGATGAAATGCTAAGCAATACTGAGCAAAAATAATATCACACCTAGACACCGCACACGCCTGATCTGTCAAAAAAAGGCTTTTGAAAAAAGTGCTTCTGCTCAGATTTTATGTTTCATTGTGTTTTGAATAATCCTACCAACTGTCAGGCTGCCAGCCCATTTTTCTCACCCCGGCTGCCAGAATTGACCGGACTTAAGAGCAACAATGTAGCAATAATTTACAATTTCAGTTGTGAAAAAATTTAAAATTTTATAATTTTTTCCTTGTTTTCTAAAAATACTTAATTCAGCAGAATTTCTCAAGCTTCCCAATGCAAATGAATGTGGCTTGATTTAGATCGATTTAAATATTATCGCCATTCATGTTTACACCAAAAAGTGATAAGCAAAGTTTGAATATTATATTTAAAACAACAACATCATTACACCAATAGAAAATCTTAATTAAATCTTTTTATCTTAGTTTTACAACTGTCATTTAAAATCTATTAATTTCTTCTACCTTAAATCCTATATAAAATAACCCAAATTGCATTAAATTAAATAGTTTACTTTTACACTTCTCGTATACATATTTATGTACGAGGTTTGATCCGTTATTTTCAATTTTTCCGTAAAGTATTTATTTATTCGTCAACAACTACCTTGTCCCCCTCAAAGTGATTCCCCTCAGATGTGATGCATTTATGCCAGCATTTTCTCCAATCCACGTTTTCTGAAATGCGTTTTCTGGTATCGCCAATAGCTCCTGTTTACGATTTTTCTTTAGCAAAATATCGAAGAACACAACAAAACATCACTAACCTCTTTATCAGTCAGAAACAAACTGACAAACCAAAATGGCTGATTTTGCCAATATATATAATAGACATGTGTACCAACATAACAGAAAAACACGCGGAGATCGATATTTTCTGACCACACCTCGTATGTAAATACGTACATACTCTTTTCTGTACGGACAAATGAGTTTTAGCTTCCTGAATTCTGCAGCATTTTATTGACGTCAGTAGTAAATGGCCTGAAAACTTTTCGACTTTTGCTCTTACTTTTCGCCAATTACTACCAACGCATTCTACTTGCGAATATTTATTCATTCATACACACATACACACTTAACGGTACCCAAAGTTACGGACTTCAATCCCCTTACTACGTTCACCCTCGTTGTTTACTGCCACAAATTACATTTTCAAGTGCAAATGAAAACTACAATCGCCACACACAAAAAAACAACAACAACAACAGCATGGATTCTCGCCCTAAAGCTAAAATGAACTCTTTTGTGTCTGAAACTTTTAGCACCGCTAGTTAATCGAATTTTTGTAGCTGGAACGCCTGAAACTACAAGTCGATTTGGCCAACACACTGATTGCCCTTTGCCACTGTTGTTGTTGTTGTTGTTAGTCATTAGTTAGCTCTGTTGTTTGCTGCTGCCTAAAATAAATACAAATACTAAATAGTCAAGGAGAAGAGTGAAAAAACAGTTGGAAAAAGAAAGGTTTTGCTCGCGCATAAACACATTTTAGTACTTTCAATTAAGAGCGCAAATATTTGAAAGCACTCAATGATCAGTGGAGATAAAGAAAAGGAAGTGTTGAAAATATTGTATGCGACTTTCGATTTCAGTCGGAACAAGTCAAAGTGTGTGTTGATAATTAAAAAACATTTATAAGTGGAGAAAGGCAAATTACTAATGATTTTTCACGAAAGCAGGTTTCGGTTCTAACAGAATTTACACTTTAAGGCATTAACATTGTAACGGGTGGGCCACAAGAGATAGTTAAATATTTTTGCCTCTACTGAAATATGTACCTCAACAAACCGGTTAATCATGAAAGACCACATTATTAATTTGACCCCGCAGGAGCTCATCCTGTTCAGTCTTTCGAACCAATTTTTCAACACATTTTCGTGTTTCGAGTCATGAATAGTCTCTGGATGTATGGCGTAGCTCTTCTCACAAAAAAGGAAAAAAATCCAACAAAGTCTAATCGACTGCTTCCCAACTTTCTTCCAGAGTGCACTTAACCGTTTTGTAAACCTCGAACCCTGTACGAAATATTTTATATTGGGCGTACGAATTAATTCGGTTCCTTTTTTAATCCAAAAAACTGTTTATATTTAAAAAAAAAATTGTAAAAATTAACTCTTTCAATTTCATTCATTTGAATCGACTACAATTTCCCAACTCTCTGGCAATTTTCAAATACTATTTCTTAAAAATTAATCCTCCCTATCCTTGAAACAATCATTGGGTCATTCCACGATTTCTTCAAGCGACCCTAGCCGTTGTCCCCCCAAATTCTTTTGCGAAAGTCCAGTAGTCGGAGCAAAGTATGAAGAATACGACGTGTGGGGTGAATTCTCTTATATCAGAGCTCCTGATAACTTTTCACAATTCACCCCCAGTGGTTGCTTCTCGGCGATTACCGAATTAAGATTTTTTCCGATTCAGCGGAGGTTCACAGATGGAAGCTCGGTCCGTATAGTTCTTTCTCGTTAACGCATGTGGCCGGCATACGCCGGGTCTCTTTGTGCATCCAACCTCGTTCTGATTCGGGCGATTTCTCTTATTTTGCCTCCCACACCATGAAGCACCCTTTACATTAAAAATACCAGAACTAAATCGACGAAACCAAAATAGTGTATGAATGATTGTTATAGTAACAGAATTCGAAACACGATGAGAACAATGATAATTGCCTTTTTTGATAGCCGTGGAATCGTCCACAAAGAATTTCTTCCTTCGAGGCAAACTGTAAATCAAGTCTACTATCGCCAAGTACTCGAAAGATTTCGAAAACGAGTCAACAGGGTTCGCGCAGAAATCGCTCGTAACTAGATCCTTCATCACGACGACGTGCCACACCGCCCTCAGTGTGTCCCAATATTTGGCCTCTAAAGGAATCCTTATGCAGCGACCACCTTCTTCGCCCGATATGTCACCCTGTGACTTTTTTTGTTTCCTAGAACTCGCGGACATCCCAGCCGAAGCGTTCAAGAAATGTTACGAAGCATGGAAAGCTGCCCAAGGAGACTACTTTGAAGGGGATGACAGAATTGCAGAATAATTTTGAAATATACGGTTTTTATGAAATCAGTCTCATTACTTAATTGTCACGCCTCGTAAATCTGCCAACCACACGACGGCGAGCCACTAACTCAAATAGCGTATGTCGGACTACAGTAGACTCTTGCTCTAATAATATATATATATATATATATTGTAGTTATGTACAGTTTAATTAGAATTTATATTTTTATTCATATTTTTTATTTTCTTTTTAATTTTTCTGTATAGCAAGAGACACACCTGACACAACAACCGAAACTCCAATTGAAGAGGTCACCAATGCGCTATATGGAAAAAGTGTGAAATTTGCCATGACACACGATGTGGAAATTAAATTACCAGAAGTGATGTTTGATGGTGCAACATTTCGTATTTCACCACGATCGTTCGAAGGCAACGGCATTATTGCCAAGTTGGAATTGATACCGAAACAGGAGGTGGAAGCACGTTTGGCTGGCAAAATTATAATGAAAAAAATACGTAAGTAGTACAAAACCATGCAAAATAATTAATATCAAGCAACTGAGAAGAAAGTTCAATAAGAAATATAAGGAGCAAAATTCAAACTATATATATATATATATATACAATATAATCCATTTGCTAGCGGTATTTATGTTAAAAGACTCCCTCCAATTTTGTTTTTATTTAAAACCTAAAAAAAAAATAGTTTAGTAATGAATTTTTCCTTCCCAAATATTAAACTTGACTTCTTCCTTAAGGTGGGCAACAACTTCATTACATAAAATGCCAATTTTCCGAACAACTTTGCCTACAATTAGGCATAGCGTAGCAGAGTCGCGCACCCATATGGAATTAAATTTTATCCATATTTCGGTGACTAAGAAGTTCTGAGATCTAAGGGGCATGTTGATTAAAGGAGACAATATTAAAATCAATATCAAAGCTGAACCTACCACTGTACTAAAATTTCAAGCAATTCGAACCTCAAAAAACTCTTTTAGTACATATCAGTTCCAGATCCACTTTCCGGCATTTATATATTAAATTTCCATTACATTCAGCAATTAATGCGATCTATTTTTAATAGCTCGATCACTGGTTCACTTCCAAGTTATGTTCGTAATAATCCAAGCGGAAAGATACTATGTACTAAATTTTGAAGTCAATCAATTATATTTTTTTGGTATAGATCAGGCCCATGCCCACTTCATAGAAGGAAGAGCGTTCCTTAGGCAAATTTATGCAAAAAGCTACGTATGTACTAAACTTCAAGCAAACCCTTTTCGTAATTTTATTTTTGTTATAGGTGGCAACTTTTTCAAACTTCAAAGGAGCACTTTCCGGGTTTCTAAGAATCTTCGCTGAAAATTTTAATAAAAGCGATTGAGTAGTGTTGGAGTCTTTAAGCTCTTTGTCTATGTTTCTTTGTACATCCTCTTTTATATATGTACATACATAGGTATATGATTACAGTTCTGATTTATTCCCAAACTTATACACTCTGTAGAATATTACTTTTCAGTTGCTAATTTAATTTTTTCTCCCCCAACGAATATCCAAACAATCCATAATTCAATTTTGCGATTGTTGTGATTTAATACCAAACTCACATAGAAGTACACACATTCATATATACATGTATTGCATTATCATTTAAATTCATTCCAGGTATTTAAAAAAAAAATAAATTACAAATAACTTGAAACTAATTATAAATAACTTCATATCCCACAATATTCAATTTCCAGAGAAATTTCTACGCAGTAAATTATTGCTATCATTTTTGGCGCTCGTGCTCATTATAAAAATCATCAAAATCAAATTGTTCTGGTTGTTGCCGTTGGTGATTGGCGTTGGCGCCGCCAAAAAGTTATTGCTCAAATTCCTGCTCTTCCTCTTCCCAGCGCTATCGCATCTCTTCAAGCTATGCTCATACTATCAACAAACATATCATTCGACTAAATATCATCATCATCATCATCTAATCAACCATCATCACACGGTAAGTTGACACGAAATCAATGAAAAGGGAAAATGTGAAGAATTTAATGAAAAATGATAAATGAAAAATGGAATTGGGGCGTAGGCGTATAATTGCTCACGAGCTTCTACGTTAGTGGTGAAGTGGGTGAAGCGTTGACAAAATTAAATTAAATAACTTTTAAGAAGAAATTATAAGCAGTAATAGGCATGTAACTAGAGAAAAAGTACTAAGCATACAACTAATGAAAAAGGAGCTACTATGTAACTAGCTTCAGAAATACTAGTATGTAGCAGTATGAAACTAACTGAGTCTCTAGTCAGTAAATAGTTGGTTAAAAGCTTATGATCATGATTATATTTTTTTCGGGAATGCGTCAATTTTATTCTCATAATAAATACGTCATGCAGAGAATGGTTTCGACGCTGCAAAAGAAGTCATTTTAACGGCGAAAGTTTGAAGATAGAAGTGTTGCTAAATCTCGACCATTGATGCCATAGACACGGGCATTACTTGATAAACGAACAGAAAAAACCAAAAGACATGACGAGGTTATTTTGCATTATGGCAGCGCGTGTGACTGTCATGGTCAAAAACTATCTACCTTTGGCTTTTTCGAAGAATTCAAAACGATTTTGAGGGTCACCGGTTCGGCTCTTTTGAGTAAAAGTAAAAATGATTCAATAACTTGAACGTGAACAGATCGAGAGAATTCATTGTTAAGAAATAGTAATCGAAAATTACCAGATAGATGGTAAGGAGTAGTCGTTTCCGGCGGAAAACATTTCAAAAAATATATCAATTTACTTTTTGCAATAATAACAATTATGAACGAAAAAAACGAACTAATTAATTTGTAGTCCCAATAAAAAAAAATAAAATTTCTTGATTTGTTTTTATAAATTAAAATTCCCTTAATTTACTTCGAGCTCAAATTCAACTCCGTGTTTTTGAGTTGACAAAGGTGCGATGTTCGGTGATTTTTAAAGTACACGATTATAAGAATGTGTTCTAATGACAAGTTCCAGCTAACTAACTCAAGAGACGAAGGTTATAGCAAATCTACTGTCTACTGTCTCTATCCATTTCGTGGTTTAAAGAGTACAGGGCTGTATTTCGACATCTGTCAAACCTAACATGCTTTTCTGTAGTTAAAAGTCAGACATTTTTGAAAATGGATCGCTAAGGACGCGCACTTCGTTTTTTGTGGGGCTACGCAAAATATCGTTTCTATGCGTATAAACCTTTAACTCTTGAGCACTCGAAAATCAAATTATGGCTGATATACCGCCCAATATGTGCCAAAAAGTGATCGAAAATTACCTCAAACAGAACGAAGTTTATAAAAAGTCGAGGCCCTATGAACGATGTAGAAATGCCAAGGTGCAAACTTTATAATAAAGAAATGATTTCATGAAAAAGTTATTTTTAATTTATTTTATTTACGATTATTTTCGGAATGGCGAATTCGAAATGAAAAATCGCTAGGAAACTTTTACAAAAATATATTCTCCAATGTTTTCATTCCAGGCTTGAATATCTTACTTATATCGAGGCCCACGCGATCTTCTTCATTTTTTTACTTACTCACACTGTTCTAGAATTTGTTATGTGCCTATTGATATATCTGTGAATAGAAGGAGGAGCCTAGTGGAATCATGGAAAGCATCTCCGAATCGTAGTTTGAAAATAATAAATTTCTAATGTACGACTCTCATTCGGAAGACACTTAAGATTTACTAAACTAGATCAGAATATTATAAATAATATAATTGGCACTAGAGCGATTTTCGGCCGAGCTCCTCCTACAATTTTCGGTTTTGCGTCTTGATGTTTTTCCAACCAATGGAAGGACTTACAGTTAATACTAAGCTGCCTCCGAATAACTGATGGTATTTTTTATGAGAAATACACTCGGAGGGGTTGACATTCCCTAGCGAATGTTTTTTTATTTAAATAAGTTTTCTATAAATTTTGGATGCTGGTGGCACCGGGATCAGAATATTACGATGTAATATGTTTGTAAAATAGTAAAGAACTGTGCTACGGTGCAACTAAACTCTGTTTACATGTAAATATATTTATATTTAATATATGTATAAGCATAAGCCTAAGCTTCCCCTTGCGGGTTTCTCCATAAATTTAGCACAGGTATGATTTCCTTACTTATTATGAATCCATTTCAAGCACAGTTTGCCTATTGAGGCTTTTTCAAAATTAAATTGGTTCATATTTACGAGGCAAATTTGAAAAGTAAGTACAATAAATTTGTATAGGTATTGTCGCCGTTCCTCTCTATAAAGGTCATGAGGAGGGTTGCTAATTTTTTGATGCCTTCCTTGAAATAATTTCCTGCCCATCCGTTCACCAAGTTCTCTATCCCTTCGTTTACCCACTTATGGATTGAAAATCTTTTTTTCTCAAATTTGCAACTTCACGGAGATAAAGAGGTCTGAAAGTGCTAGATCGGAGGAATACGTGTGATCGTGGCATTGGCTCTGTATGGTCTGCCATTGTAGTGCAGCAGGCAAACTAGCTTTGCCAGCATGCTTTTTCTTCCGTTCACTACGCATTTTTTTTAGCTTCTCAAACGGAGGTTTTCCCCTTTCAAATAAAGCAGCGTAATTCGCACTTGGTGTTAGACGGAAAAAACATTGTTTACGAAACTTGCACTTGGTATACTATCGTTTTCCCACCATAACGAAAATAAATTCCCTTCGGTCGTGAGTGCCTCAGTACAGTACACTTATTTTCTGGATATGCCTCGTGCTGTACGTATATTTCCCTATAACTGTTCTGACTCTACATGCTTAACCTCAATGTAGCATAAAAAGATAGAATACAGTTCAAGATTAACATTCTTCTGACAGCTATCAAATCTAGGAAAATCTCAAGTACTTGGCCTTGAGTTTAATTCCAATTTCAATCATTAAGATTTTATAGGAGTGTGTGCATATGAACGTCAATATTGCCTTACTATTGTGTCATACACATACATAAATTTATTATATTATGTGTCTGTTTATTACTTAGTATGTGAAGATGTCAATTAACCACTTATTAAGTGTATAACTACATAAATATATAGACAGTTGTTTAAGCTCCGAAAGCTGCAACGTAAAGAGGGCTTTCTAAAAATAACCGTATTAGTATGAATGCTTTAAGATGAGATCAGCTCCATCTAAGCGTTTATCTGATGTGAGTAGGCAAAAAAGAACTTTTATGCGAAAATACTTCCGAAAGCATACGAAGCACTTTGAATAAATGAAATGATCTCGATTTCTAAAGTGGGTCTGATAATCTCAGGCACCGTAACTACTACTCTCTCCAGACTAGTTAGGGAAGCTAGGGGGTCTGGTAGTGAGTTAAAAGAAGACCAAATATCTCCTGTCACAGCTCGTTCGACTGCAATTCTTACACTAGTTGGATTTTGTAAGAACGCAAACCAAAAGCCATCCGCAAAATCTTCCATAAAGTGGAGGGGCACAGCTCAAATCGTCTGCATGATGGCGGATGGACTGATTCGGGACTTGTTCCATACTCTGTTTCACAGCAGCAATATCGTCCTCGGTCTATGCTTCACAGCAGCAATACCGTCCTCGGTCGCACTGCGTGAGAAGCCGTGAAGATACACATTATCCACTAGAGCAAACATGGTGGCAAAACCGAATCACCGACTCTGTCGGGCGATTATAAGCAGCTTCGTGCCAAGTAAGCCTTTATTTTGGTAATAAATTTGCCAGATTTCCAAACGTAGCAGCTGCCAAAAAGATCAACTCTGAAAAAAGAACTATCTCAGTGAAGAGCACACAGAGAGCACAGAGACCCTTAACTAGATTCTTTTGGATTGGCGTATGTTCTGTAGTTCGAGAAAAATAAATCGGTTGGTGATGAGAACAGCTAATAAATCTGGGAAACCACAAAGACGGAGAGCTTTTAGCATGGAAATTCGAACGCTTTATTTCAGCTGTCAAAACTTCGCGTGGAAGCTTGTTAAGCATTAAATGCATTGGTTTAAATCTATATAGGATTTTGAAGAACACAATTTTTTAGATATTTGACAAAGACTGGGTCAAGCATCGAAAAAGGAAGACTAAACTATTGAATTGTTTTCAAACCAATATTTATTTTAATTTATCCGTTTCTTTGCAATAATTTTGAAACTGATATTTTGTATGGCTTACCCAGGCGTCGGTCACTCAAACAAGATAATCAATTTAGTTTTCGGTTCCCTAGATTCCGAGGTAGTAAAGATATTTACTGAAACTGGAGGTACGGTAATGGAACAGCAGCGGAGGCGTCCCACTTGGTAACCTTGTTCAACTAGTCTTTCCAACGGAGTGGAGTTCTGCCTCTTCCTCAGCTTCGATTAATATGTACTGCATTAAATACTTTAAAATTTGGGGTGTTTTTGCCTCCATAAGTTTGGGATATATGTATGGGCATGCATACTTCAAAGAAGGGAAATTAAATTGTTGAAACGATTCAATATTTGTTTTGATTTCTCCATTACCCTTTTAATTATTTCTTAAAAAAAGAACTGCAGGACTAAGAATTCACTAAATTTCGCTTTTATTTGCACAATTTATCTTGCCACCAAATACGGTACAGTAATGAGAATTTTCGGAAAATCCGAAACAATCAACACCAAAATTGTATTAAATGCTTTCCCACAAAGCTCAAGTTGTATGAAATGTATCTGACAGCTTTTCAAAAAGTTTATAAATTGAAAATGAGATTGAAGCACAAAAGTATTTTACAATGAATTCCCATTTGGCTAACTACCAGTTTGGGCTTTCTCATAACCACGTCCTCCCACCACATGCACATTTTCAGCTATGATTTCTAGGAAATAAATAGACTTCAGTGATTTTTGATGAAAACGTAGAAATCGTCACAGGCTGTGGTAAATTTCTAGGCAACATTCACATGCCTATAAAATTTAGTTAAAAAAAAAATTGTTGTCATCGTGATTTGCATACCTACAAAGTATACGTGCACTACGAGCAGCAAAAAAATGCTTCAAATGAAAAACTTTTAATTAATTCTGCACAAGAAAATTTTCAAGTGATATAATTTTACACAATTCAAATTCAAATTCACATACATGCATACATATGTGTACTCAGATATACAAATATTACATGCTTTAGCAATTCATATTACTTTTATTTACTTTAAAAATTTCCATTCCTCAGGTCGTTCCCGCTTGGCACGCGCCGGAACATCATTCAATACCAGAAATCATTTATACACATCCACCAAAAGGACATCCCTCTACGTATTTACATGGCGCACCAATACATGAGTCCTATGGTCCTTATTCGCTGGAGCATAATGAGGGTAATTGGGAGAATTCCGGCCCGGGTTTGGGTTCAGAGTGAGTAAAAGAAATGAAAAATTATAAATGAGAAAAAATAAATTTATATAAATGTATTATAAATATGTAAATTATATATATGTAAAATATAACTATATAAGCGAAAGTCTTTTCCGTGACTACAAAGTATTAATTATATAACAAGTTCACTTATATAGTATGGTATGGAACTACAAATCCTTGCAACCGTCGAATTACTCTAGCGATGTTCAAGCGGAATTAGTAGCCATAGAGGAGGCTATGAACTACTTAGCTTAAATGTTACTCTCGGTGTATTTATATTTTCGCCGATAGCCTGGCAGCGCTACAAACCCGGAAATCTATCACAATAAAGACAAAACCGTTAGTGAAATGCCGCAAATCCCTACTCGCCTTGGTCAGGAGTTCTCTTCGAACTTAGTATGGGCACCAGAACACAGTAGCCAACCAGGTAATGAGATTTGGAGGACAAGCTTGCAAGGACGGAAACTTTCCTTACACTTTCGCCAGCACGGAAGAGTCTGGGCATGCCGCTCTCCACTTGTTAGCTCATCATAGCAATGTATTTCACCGTATATGCGAACATAAAATGGAATAGGCTCAATTGCTGCAGTTTTGCTAGAATAATGTGGATGTCTTGGTACAAGAAGAGGTCAAGAGAGCTAAATCTCATTAAAATGTATGGATTTGATGAGTATTCTCACGGTAGATCTTCTTTAAGTAGAGACTGGTTGTATCATCAAATGACTTGTGTAACAGTTGTTGAGAGGAAGGAATAACCTGAGACCCTTACAAATGCCCAACACTTTGCAGGAGTAGATTTAAGTTCCTAGGGCTGGCAACCTTTGCAGACTTGCGCCGGATTGCTATGATTTGCTAATGCCACATTGATTTGACTAGCATGTGTCACTTCAACCTAACCTAACCTTGTCTACACAAGTCTACATTTTTTTTGTATATTTTCAAGAAGAATTTTCCTTTATTGAATATCAGTTTTCATCAAGTGTATATTGACTATGACCCTATCTATGACTTTGGTTTATCCATGAAGTACTTAAAAAAATAATTTTAGCGGATTTTCGCCTTTAACCATAAATTTTACATTTTATATCCTCCTATTTAACCCATTTTTCCTAGCCCCTGTAGGGCCGCCGCAGAAATGTTAATTTTTTTCGAGCTTCTATGAATAGCCAGCCTATCAAGATTCCAAACTAACTCGTGTGTGACCTCCGCCAACTCCTGATGGCTTGCTTGCCTGTTGCAGAACTTGATCGGTCTTTTGAGAGACTGGACGCCCAGAACGAGTTTCACCTTTCACACTAAAATTTCCCGGACGGAAGCGATCAAACCAATCATTACTCTTGATCGTAAAATTCGGTCATACTATGATATGGCTGAAGTCCAAGGCCAAGTTTTAAACCGATAATTGTGTATGTGAAAAGGTTGCGAGAGCTCTTACGAAGCAAGAATAAGTGATTAGTAGTAAATTAAACGCCAGTTTACGATAGTGGCAGCTTTCAAAACAGATATCCTAGGTCCGACCAATATCCATCATTCTAGACTTGCAGCAGAAGCTCGGCCGGTTATATACATACTAGGCATAGGTCTGCCACCAATCGCAAAATAGTCAATTTAATTTTGGTTCCTTGGGTATCTAGAGAGTAAATATCTTGATAATCTGGTAGTACAGTACAAAATATTTCGTTTATTGGCACTTAAAGCCACAGCACAGGCACCGCACTTAAAGTCCAACTGATCTTTCCAACGGAGAGGAGGTCGTCCTCTTCCTCTGCTTTGCACCATGGGTACTGCGTGAAATGCTTTTAAAGCTCGAGTATTTCCGTCAGTGCAGCAGACATGATCTAGCCAACTTAGTCGGTGTCTTACATAGGGCTTTTTCGGGTTCTTAGGGTATCATTTTATATGAAATTCGAGAAAACTTCAGGATTCAATGTGAACTACAATATTTTGACAAACACATATAATAAATTTTTTTTTTAATTTTTTTAATTTTATTATTATTTATTTATTCAAAAATTTATATTTTATCATTAATGAATGTATTTATGTGTGTGTATATATATTTAGTGAAAATAAACTTTTAAAACCAAAATTTTTAAATTTAATTTGTGTGTACATTTACATATATATGTTTCAATAACTATACCTCTCCGACACACAGCCATCCTGCAATACACAACACTACCACTTTGTTCTTTTTTGTTTTCTTCTTTTCATGTTTCATTGCATGCGCATGTTGCAGTTATGTTGGTGAAATAAATCGTGTTGCACAAGTCGATGAAAACTCTTCTAATTATTTTAAACCAAATGCCCATAATGATGCCAATGAGATACTTGTTTGGGGTTTGGGCACAACACAGCCGACAATTCCCCAACAACAACAGCACCACCAACAGCTACTTAAACAACAACAACAACAATCACAACAAAGGTATCGGCCAACAACACAGCAACATCAGTCACAACAAACACCTACACAACAACAACGACCGCCATCACTTGTACAGCAACAGAAAATGCAATTGCAACAGCAACAACAGCTAGTACAACAAAAACTGAAAACACAACATAAACAACAACAAACACATAACCTTCAAAAACCACACGCTACTAGTCATAGTTTCAATCCATTTTTCAATGGTGAAAATAATTCCAAACAGCAAAGGTGAATCCGATTCCGTATTTTGCAAGTAGAGAGAGAGAGAGAGAGAGAGTAGAAAATAAAGAAAAGATGAAAATAGATTTAGAATACATTAATTTTTCTTCAAAACTATAGCGTCAGTAGAAAAATATTAATTTAAAAAAAAGCTGGTTCTGACATGGCTTATGCCAGGGAAGTGCTTTGGATTTGATTATTTTGAAGAAACGCCTAGAATCGAGTGTCAAAATTAAGAATTTGAACCCCTTTTTGGTTTTCCAAATGCAACATAGTACTCTTCCCAACCCCTAGAGCATCTCACAAGCCCACACGAGTACCCTAAATTTTTTGTGGCCTTCAAAATTAGGGAAGCTATATAAACCAAGTGGACTCAAATTCAGTTTGTTTTAAGCAAAGCAGTCGCAAGCATAAAGCTGACAAAACTCTATATCATTCGTATCTGGCTTATTGAGCCATCAGCAGTAGACTCTGGATCCAACAATATATGGCCCTTTATACAGAGGTAGAAATATATTGTAACTACACGTAAACATGCTCAATAGCAGGCTTCTGTGTCGAAATTCCTAGCGATTTCATTTGCGACACTGTTCGTCTGTACTTTGTACAGACTTCTCGATAGAGAACACTCCCACAACTCCGGTTCATTAGTAAGAAACCTCACTGCTATCAGTGGGACAAAAGAGTAGCCAAAGCTACTTGCCGCACTGGTCATTTGTACTCAGTGCAGACATCTCGATAGAGAATACTTGATAGAAAACACCCCTCTCCCTTCGGTTTATCTGTAATGAAACTCATTCCTTCACGCTTTCGGAAACCTAGCCCCACTAGGTCAAAGTAATTTAGGTATCCTGATTCTCATATAAAAAATTGAATCTTTAAATGCTTATGTACTCAACATCAACCTCCGACCCAAAAGCAAATTAACTTTACTTAATTGACTCTCGAAGCTTCACTATAATTATTATTGATTAGTTATCTATGAATTTAATTCATAAACTTTCCCCAAACGCTTACCAGTTTAACGAGAAGTATAAGAAGGTAATATCCGAACCAGTTGTAAGTTGTCAAACGCTTTTCCTTATTATTTCAAATATTTATTTACTCAATAAAGTCGCTTGGCTCATCTCTCTACTCACCTTTAAGCCTCCTAAATCAATTTGGCGTGTAAAATAATAAAAAAAAAATACAAAAACTTCAAAAATGAAAAAAATAAAAACTTACTAATCCGACTAAACAGGACAAATACCAAAATTTCTGTTTGTATCTAATCCAAAATTTACTAGATTACTTTTTCACCTCCTTTCCCATCGCCACTCCTTCACCATCATCTTAAGTAACACCACTAATACATAAACTCCACCCAGCATTAAATGTATTTACACTTCATCCCATCTCTTGCTCACACTTATGTACATCTATCCTGTATTCGCTTGCAGACGCTTTGCGCCTCGGGATTTTTTTGAAAAAAAAAAAAAACAATTTAAAATTACAATTCATTACAAACATTTTTATTTATTGCTTTTTTTCGTTTATCTTCGCCACAGCATATTCGCTACGAAATTAAAAACTGCGACTCAAGCACAATCCGCGCCAAATCCAGTTTATGCTGCCCCGCCACCCGCACCACACCAGCCACGGCCGCAGCATCCGCAACAGCCAACAGCTGAGGCATTAACCGCAGCCGCACATATTGCCGCTCAATATGATCCGGCACGCAATAGTCTCGCACAGCAACAACAAAATCAGGATCAACTTAAGCAGCAACAGTTACAGCAATTACTACAACAAAAGCAACAAATGTCGGTAAGTAATTGTAGGTGGGCGATAGATAGTTGAGTTGAACAGAAGATTTACAGTTTCGCAACTGGTCACACTGAGGGCGAAAGTAGTGTGTTGGCATTAAACTTGCCAAGGAGTGGTTGTATTCATGCAGAGATTGGCCCACTTGGTATATTAAGCCGTTTCAAAGCAACTCAAAGCATTCATTAGCAAAAATCGGTGTTAAGAATATATTTCTTCATCTAGGTGTTAGTTAGTTTCCAAAATTACAGAGCGTTATCCAATAAAAGATGTTATTTTGATATACAAAGAAGCAGTTACCCGCACCTCGACTGGTCTCCCGCTCCGCGCCACGTCTTTCACGCTTTCACGCCCTCCTTAAACTCTTTATGCATTCGAATCACCTGGAGCCTACGTTTCCGAAGCTTTTTCGCCCAATTTGGCGCAAAATTTTATCACGACGTGTTGCTCTTGATTTTGTTTTTCCTTTTTCGTGACGGGCACCAAGAACACACGTTTACTCAACACGACACAGCAGGCGAACTAAACAAGCTAGAGCGATAGCAAATATATCAATGGGGAGGAGTGGGATTTCTGGAGAAGGGAAAGGAAATTTCAAGGTAACAGATTTACCAAAATCGCGGCAATATAATCAATCTCACTACTTTAATGTCACACCTCGTAGTATTTGATAATATTTTAAGCGCTCTCCCATATTACCCTTTTCCTTCTCAAACTTCTAAAAATACTTTCCCAGAAGACCAGTTTCCTTAACACTTTCCTGTAAAAAAAACCAAATCACTTTTCTACTGGGTATGAACATCTTATAAAGTGTATAATTCAAAAAAAATTAAATCAAAATATGTTGCACACACAGCCAACACTCGCTTCACCTTCAACGGACATTCGACGCAAATGTTAAGATTTATGAACGATATTCTAAAATAATTTGCCACACTACCAAAATAGATAACACAATCTTATAGCTTCTGTGTTTTAGCCACAGGACTATATATTCGTACCCGCCAAGGACTTTAATATATCTATGTACATACATACATTTCTCTGAAATTTCTGGAACAACAAGTATTTCGGTGTAAAATATTGCCGCTACAGTAGTTGATTTTTATTGTTATTGTAGGCACAATTCACCTGAAGAGATGAAATGTAGCTCAAAGTAAAATTCATGTGTGAGTTGTGGATTTTTATTTACTCTTTTTTATTTACCTACTATTTTGAAATATTGGAGAAATTTATTTTTTCCTAATTTTATTTATTTTTTTGTTCAAACTCTCAAAAATTAGCAAATTGAGTAACTGCGTAAATAGCACTTTAGGAACAAGCAAAATGACATACTTGTTCATGTTCGCATCCCCTCGCTTTCTATTATGTGTTATTTCAAAATTATCGAGGATGAAGCCAGATATGCCACAGCGTTATAGAAATATCGCAATATTTTTGTATATAAACAACGCCACTCAACTCATAGCACACAACTTGTCTGCAATAAAACACTCAAATTCGGATATGAACTAAAGTGCAAACAAACATTTAACTTGCAACTTGATTGTGGATTGTTGGCCGTCGCGGTTTTGTGGTCTCGGCAAATAATTTATAGGCACGCAAAATTAAGTAACAACAGCCGGCACATAAAGCAGCAACAACAACAGTAATAAAATAAATATTAAGATGAATGTAAAAGCAATAAAATATCCTTAAAAGCTGTTTGCCTTTAACATTGCTTTGCGTCATAAATTTTTTGATAGCCCTAAGCTAATATTTATAAATACTTAAATATACGTATTTTACCGATAAATAATTTTGGCAGCGGAAAAAGTGGCATGCAAACACTGAAGAATTATAGCTTTATATTGAAGAGTGGTTAGCATTGCATCATGTTAATTTTATGGAATTATCCTTTTTTATATTTTTTTATTTATTTCTGTTTTATTATATTTTGTTTTATTTTATTTTTTTTAATTTTATTGTTATTATATAATTTAATTTTATTTTATGTTACTTTACTTTATTTAATTTAATTTAATTTTTTTTTATTTTTTTTTTAATTTATTTATTTTTTTTTTTTATTGTTATAATTTAATTTAACTTTATTTTATATTACTTTACTTTATTTTATTTTATTTTATTTTATTTGATTTTATTTTATTTTATTTTATTTTATTTTATTTTATTTTATTTTATTTTATTTTATTTTATTTTATTTTATTTTATTTTATTTTATTTTATTTTATTTCATTTTATTTTATTTTATTATATATATACAAGTTTTGTTTTATATTACTTCATTTTAATTTATTTTACTTCGTTTTATTTTTTGTTTATTAATTTTTTCTTTTATTTTATATTTTTTATTATAATTTATTTTAATTCATTTTATTTTATTTTATATAATTTTATTTTCTTTTATTTATTTGATTTTATTTTATTAAATATAATTTTATTTTGTTTTATTTTACTCTACTTTATTTTTTTATTGTATTTATTTAACTTTATTTCTTTAATTTTATTTTCTTTTACCTTATATTTTCTTTCTTTATTTTTTGAAATTATTTTTTTGTTCTATTTTATTTTAAATTTATTTACTTTACTTTATTTATTTTATACAATTTTATTTTAATTATGTTAATTTATTTTTATACTTTATATTATTTGTGTCATTTGTTTTAATAATTTTTTTATTTTATGTTATTCTATTATAATTTATTTTAATTCATTTAATTTTTTTTCATATAATTTTATTTTATTTATTTTACTTTATATTTGATTTTATTTTGTTTCACTTTTTTATTTTACTTTGTTTTAATTCGTTTATTTTTTTTATTCAAATTTATTTTATTTATTTTATAAAATTTTATTTTCTTTTATTTATTTTATTTTATATATACAATTTTTTTTTATTTTACTTCATTTTAATTTATTTTATGTTTTTTATTATAATTTATTTTAATTCATTTTATTTTATTTTATTTTAATTATTTTACATATTTTAATTTCTTTTTTATTTATTTTATCCTTTTTTATTTTATTTTGTTTTTTTTTCTCTTTATATAATTTTATTTTCTTTTATTTAGTTGGATTTTATTTCATTTTATTTTATTTCATATAAATATATTTGGTTTTATTCGGATTTGAAAAATCTAAAATAGTGAAATTACTTCCTGCAACTTGACTAGAATAAAAAGAAACTTTAAGGTCATACATTTATTTGGAAAATTGTTTCCACGAACGACCTTTTCCTGGTTATTGTCAGCGAGATAACAAATAGCAGTCATTATGTTCGTTGCAGCAGAATAAACAAAAAAGGCGACCTTTAGTGGCATAAAAAGCACAACTTACTTAACAAATGTTCTGCGCCTGAAGGCAGTAAGTAAAGATTAATGAACTCGAAAGTGGTAAAGCCCCCCCAGCTGACAGAAAGTTGTCTTCGAAAGAATAAAGCTAAAAAATCTTGTATTCTGAAAAATCACTGTGAGTTTTAGATGGATATACAAAGAAGTGAAAGAGAAAAATTTACATATGAAACGTGACATTAGTTATCCTTCGGCAAGTTTTGAATACAATAATTTTGTTTTAACATTATTTAATTATGACAAGTCAATTATCTAGCTTGTGTACACAAAATTAGTAACAACGCTTGTTTTGTTTTTAATATTGTCTTTTATATACTTCCACTTCATTTCTTTTCGCTCGAAACCCAAGCTAGATTTGTTTCAATAATTGTTTTAGCATAATCTAAGCCATTCCCTCCTAGGGTAAATGCTTCAAGTCCCAATTCACAATTTTCAAGGGGGATTTTTTTATCCAGCAATTTTATCTTGTCGCTTTTGATGTGAGCCAACACTGATTAAGGAACTTCTTATATTGAAGTGTATTCTGTCTATTCAATAAACTTCAATATATAAATCTCAATGGATCTATTTTTCAACGCAACCGTCGCTTTCTGCCTTTTGACGTTCTCCTTACGTAAACTAAGCTCATCTACTCTTTTGCCAACTATTGCTGATTTGGGTAACGGGTGGAATTTTCCTTTTTTGCTACTGCCATTTTAAGAATTGTGAGCCTAAACAAGCGTTCCTAATGAGTTGCCAAATTTGCACATTTTTTGGCAAACACTTCCATTCTACTAGTAAGCCATCGTTCGCCATTTTAATTTTATTATCTTTTTTTTATTAATTCTTTATTTTTTTATTTCCACTATTTCTGCGATATGAATTTAAAATTCATTAAAAATAAACAATTTGCACAGTTTGCACTGTTCACTGCCAGTCACAAAATGGTTCATCAAGTGAGCGAGTATTTGCATTGTGACATTCCACACAAAATGACCCGAACGACACTCCGTCGTACACTGCACTTGCTAATTGTCTCTTATTTAGCCGCTTTTCATTCTTCATTGCAATTCTTTTGTCGCCACAGTTATGGCGGTGTGTGAAAGTGGAGGCACAAAGTGACCCGTAGAAATATCGCACTTGACACAATTTATGCCATTCGCTATGCGCGCCATTCATACTCGTAGCAAGCACGACTACCTTATTTGCTAAATTCTGTTGCTCAGTCCTTCCATGTGCCCACAGCGCTTCCGCTGCACCGTTAAGTGAACGTGTGCTCTGCGTGCTGCCGCCGCCACTATGGACACTTTCATTTCATTTAAATTCATTTTTCGTGTTATGCATTTAGATTTGTTGTTTACATTTCAATCGGTCGTCACTGTGTTTATTCATTCCCCAACCTCTTTTCCGCTATCATTCTGTGATTTTAGTTCATTTACTATGCGCATTTCTATTTTAATAAATTCGCTGTCAAATACATGCGTGAATATATCATAAGTATGTATGTATGTACTCGCATGTGTGTATTTAAATTGACATTACTCTTGCTCGTTTTTTCCACAAATTGGTTGCTTGTCTGCCTTTTACACTTTAATAATATTTGCTATTTTTTTTTTTAATTTGTTTACTATGCAATCAGTTAACTGGTCTATTTGCATTTTCACTTAAATAAAG